GATGACGTAGAGAATAAATAAATAATAATAATAAACGTTGAAGTGGCACGAGCTTTCAAAGAAACGTTTTCAAAACGACTTATACCTGAAGTAGTCCCACCAATCCCGAGGTAAGATCTTGTACGCATTAGTTTCTCTGGTGAGATCTTATACTGGGATGCAACAAGCGTATGGGCAGCATTTTCATCATCTAAGAACATCTTCATACGGACAAAAGGCTCCCTACCCTTCTGGGTCAGCATGTGCCACGGCTTGGGTCTAGCCAGTAAGTCAGAGACAGATCCCTGGGAGAGTCCCAGCACGCTCTCTCCAAACAGCCGCTGGCTAATGGAAAACTGGCTGAGTTGCTCTTTTATCTGGAAACACAAACGTTTCCAATACAGACAAATGAGATTTTTGGTGGTAAAATTCTAACAAACTTGCTGACAGTACAATAGGTTTTTCTCTCGAACTATAAGTGTAAATGTACTTCACAGATATACAAAAAAAAACAGATAAAACAAAGACAAATGAGAAAGTATATCACACGCTAATTCAAGTTTAATATAACGGTTAATATTTAATTAAGACTAATGTTGTTAATAAAGAAAAGGATGATGGCGGCTGAACAGTCTTAAATATCCAGTCAGACTTGATTCATGTTTTACACCTGGCATATTATATACCTCTCAGTTCACTAAGACGCTAACAAGAAATGAAAACAACAAACAAACAAACAAAAATAACAAATCACAATGTATTTTAAAGACCACGCCACAAAGTAGGTCCTGAAAAGTTAAATTTACAAAAGTCAACCCAGAAGTATATATTAAATATATTTTGATATTGAAAAACAAAACAATTTGAGATTTTTATCCATGAGATATTTCCAAACCACAGAAAGTGGCGATATTAGCTTCTTACATTTTTAACAATTTCTTCTGTGTTGAGGTTGTTGTACTGGTCAAACTGCTGTTGAGTGATAGGCGATAGAACAGATTTGGTTGGACGCTGTTGATGATACGAATTTGTAAGAGTTGATTGAGTTAGAAGTGAGTTGGTGATTGACTGCATTCTCTGGAGAGGTGAAGCGGAAGAGCTGGGATCCTCTACAGATCCTGAAGGTTCAACCATGGTTATCAGTGTGCCACAAGGAGAGGATGAAGAGTTTGTTCCAAGAGGATAAGACACTGGTGTTTTGGATGTACTACTAGGTTCGGGTTTGGGTCTCACAAGAGAAAAAGCACTTCCATGATGGTGAGACTCTTCAGGCTCTGTGGAAGAGCCAACATTTAGTTTGGTTCTCCAGCTAGTGGGTTGAGTCGCTGCGTCAACGACTGCATTGCAACGGGAATGAGCCGAATTCATAGAGTTCAAAAAACTGGGAAATGTGGAACAGTGCACTGAACTATTCACTAGGTTTGCTGTTACACCTAAATGTGCAAGCTCTGTCATGGAGTGGGGGATCAGTTGTGAGAGATTGGACAGCTCTTGATAGTAGATTGTCAGAGCTTGACGGATCTCGTCTTGTGAACATTCAAACTGATCCTTTGGAACACAGAAACCCTTTTCCATTCTCTGGCCCATCAGCTTAGTCAACTCTTCCTGGTAGATTCGTTTAATCCTTTCTTGAGAAATGTCACCATTCGCTTGCCTTGGAATGTGAAAGTATGGCTGATGTTTATACAAAATGTTATTTTGATAAGACCAGTGTTTGTCTCCTTCTCTGTCAGGGTTTTCACTTTCTTCCTCTTGTTTTTCCAGAGCTCCATTTGCAGTCTTACACTCAGGAGAGTGTCTCATATTTCCATTGTAAGTTACCAACTCTTTTTTGTCTTTGGTGGGAGCTAACATGGTTTGTCTAGCTTCATTCAGAATTTGGTTGACGCGCCCCTTAGTAACAGCATCCTCCTGCCTGCAGTTTGGAAGTTCAAAATCTTTTCCTGATGCAAGGTTAAAAAAGGGAGAGGAGAGAAAAAAAAAAGAATATCTCAATCATTTTTCTAATCATGCAAATGGAACTAGTAACATTTGTGTAGATATCGGTAAAAATAACTAAGACAAGAACATTTGATGAAATATACTGTAATATTATTCTAACTCCAGAAAGTTTATACAAATCACAATTCAACTGTTATGTGAGATTTTTGAATAATAAATATTTATACAACTAAAATTCTATATTTTAGGAATAGAACCGTATGATTAAAATGTATTTAATTTATAAAATATAAAACGATTTCTAACTTTTTTGTCACTGTGAAAAAAAAAACATACTCTCAACTTACATGATGTTACTTATTCATTTCACTAGTTAATATTTAGATTAGAAAAATGAGATTCAAACAAAAAAGTTTTAAGATTTTAATTTAACATTAAAAAACCAGTTTATCGAAAAATGAAATGATTTCTAAAGTTGCCAACTTGCACTTCGTCGTCCTGGTAACACGCAGATTCGTTCATATTTATTAACTGAAAAAGTTGAATCTAAGTTTCAAACGGACAGCAACTGCCTGTTGTAGAAACCTACAAATGTAAAGGACGACGTTTCGAAAGTCTTTCGTCTTCAGGTCAGTGTGTTTGTGGTGTAGTTTGGTCTTTATAGTGTTTTAGTGGACCACTATAAAGACCAAACTACACCACAAATACACTGACCTGAAGACGAAAGACTTTCGAAACGTCGTCCTCTACATTTGTAGGTTTCTACAACAGGCAGTTGCTGTCCATTCGAAACTTAGATTCATTATGAATACTCTGCCTAAACAAAAATTAGCAAAGTTATTTTGATACTGAAACAAATGTGTATTTTTTCAGCGCAAAATCTTTGAAGCACTTCTTAAGAATGTTAAGGAACAGTGATATTGAAATCTAATCAGATCTAAATTCGACAAAGTTCTTTTCGAGTCTGCGCATTCAGTAATATTTTCCAATGGTCATTAACAAGATAAAAAAACCTTGATTAGATAGTGATCGAAAGGCATAGTTTGGTTTAGACTAGCTATTGTGCTCCCTAGGCCTAGTTTTGCTTATACTAGCCGGTGTGGTTCCTAGGCCTAGTTTTGTCCACACTAGCCGGTGTTATCCCTAGGCCTAATTTTGCCTACATCAATAAGTGTAATCCCTAGGCCTAGTTTTGTCTACACTAGTCGGTGTGATCGCTAGGCCTAGTTTTGTCTTAACTATCCGGTCTCTAAATACAGATACGCTATCAAATCTTTGTTGAAGTTGTATTAAGTTTGATTAAGTTAAAATATTAAGTAGATTTTTTTGAGAAAAAAACAATGAGTGTTACAACCTATTTAGTTTCCTGTAGACGGTATACTTTTTACGTTTAAAATGGCCGTTGTGAAAACGATCTTGTATATTATTTACAGATACGAAAAATGAGCAATAATACATTACACAAGGTGGAAAATAATCTGTTGTTTTAGTAGAACTTTAGGCAGAGTAGAGATAAGTTAGTTTGAGAAATTTGTAGTTAAGCACAAAGCTACATAGTGGGCTATCTATGCTCTGCCCACCAATGGAATCGAAACTCGGTTTCTAGCAGTATAGCATAGAAGCCGAAACATCGCCTCCTTTTCTTTCGACAGGCAGTTGTAATCCATTAAAGTTCTCAAATAGTATTCTGTTTTAAAGAAACCAGAGCAAAAAAAGTTTAACATGACAAAAAAAAAAGGTTTCGCGTTATTTGATAAACACAACTTTTTTTGCACATAATTCTTTACGTTATAAAAACATAAAATCCCAATATGGCAACATACATCATTTTATTTAAAAAAAAGCAAAAAGAAAACGATAAAAATACGAAAATCCTATAAAAGTGAATGTTTGTTACTCTTGTAGATCAGGAAGTTGTGCAGCGAAGACCATTATACAGGTGCTGATATTTACACGATGGCTACAGTAACATCTATCAAACAACACGATGTTCGTAATTTGTTCATTTAACGAATATCTCACCTTTTCTAGGTACCAGAGTCTTTAGCATATAAATACAACTGTCATCCGAAGCCCACGCGTGCATCTTGCGGTAAGAGTCCCTTCCTTTTTCCGTCAGTTTGTCCCATGGTTTCGGTTTTGAAAGAAGTTCGCTGACAGTACCTTGGGATAAGCCAAGGACGTACTTGGCAAACTGACGTTGTCCAATATTATGGGCACTCAAAAGCTCTCGAATAGCACGAGAAATATTCAGCGTATTCAAAGTTTCATTTGCGTATTTGTCCATACAAATACGGAGGCACTCTTGCAGGGTTTCTACAGTAGCGATATCACAGCGAGACACTCTGTCCCTCGAAGAATTCTTGTGGTAATTAGGTTTAGCACAGTTAAGAGGCTGAGAACAAACGGTAAATGTTGGCGAAGTAGAGGTCTCTGAAGGATTTGATGTATACTCACACTCTTCTTTTTTCAATAGTTTCGAATAGGACGATACGATCTCTTCTCCAAGAAGTGACGTAAACATTTCAACATTTTGTAGTCCTGGAGGTAACGAGTTTTCTGTCTGAAGTTGAAAATTATCTACAGAAAATCACGAGTTAATATAATTTCGTGAAATTCATACGTTTTTTTTCATTTATACAATAATCTTCTATAACACATTACCAAAACATTCCTGGTTCAGATAACATCTTTTGGAGAATCCAAAGTGTAAATAAAGTGGAGAAATTGTAAAGGTTGATTTTATGTAACATTGTAATTTTTCATTCGTTACTCGGTTTAAACTTGATCATTCTTACTACCCGAAGTCGGATTTATATCAAGATAAACTTATTTATATGTTGTTGTTTTCAGTTTAAACATAATCCAGTTATAAATCTATGTATATTAAAAACTTTTCATGGTTTAAATTATATTTTTTTATGACACATTTGAAGAATCGATTTAAAAGTTTTAAAAAAATGTTAAGCCTTCTTTTTCAAGTCTAATATGTTTTAATGAATCACACTAAAACACGTATTTTATTCTAAGTGTTGGAAAATAAATCATTCAGACAAAGACATTACGATAAAAGTTTTACGTTTAACAGTTTGTAAGTCAATCCACCTTTTAATCGTAGGGAAACATGTTAGTTTATAGCAGCTGTATGTATCTATATAAATATAATAGTACTGTCTCTTGTATGTATCTATATAAATATAATAGTACTGTCTGTTGTATGTATCTATATAAATATAATAGTACTGTCTGTTGTATGTATCTATATAAATATAATAGTACCGTCGTTGTATGTATCTATATAATATAATAGTGCTGTCTGTT